GGCTGGGGAGACAAAAACATTTTCTCCTACATGAGAAGTAGCTCTTCCTAGATTATTTTAGTAATGATGAGAGGACATGCAATAAACAAACAAGGGAACAAAAGCCTAAAGAACAAACTATGAGAGAGAGAACAAGAGCTATGCAGGTCAAATACACGATCTCTTTTGTGGGCTCCTTTTGCTGTACCTAGAAGAAGGCTAGGCATCTGTGCTGAGTATTAAAATATCCTTTACCAATCAGTTTGTTAGAAAGAGGGAGTGGTGAACTCGCTTCTAACCTATGGATATTGACAGTTTCATCCTATGTTAGAGGCTGACTTATAGACTTGTAGAATTATTGATCATAATCTAAGAAGGAATTGCTTATTATTGTTTTTTTTTAATCCTCACCCTGGGATATTTTCCCATTGATTTTTAGGGAGAGTGGAAGAGAAAGGGAAGGACAGAGAGAAACATCAATGTGAGAGAAACACATCAATTGGTTGCCTTCTGCAGAAGCCCTGACCAGAACCCAGGCCAGGGAGGAGCCTACAACCAAGGTACTTGCCCTTGACCTGAATGGAACCTGGTACCCTTTGGTCCACAGGCCAATGCTCTATCTATCCACTGAGCCAAACCTGCTACGGCTATTATTGCTTTTTTTTAAAAAAAGATTTTCTTCTTTCTGTTGGTTATTTGTCCAGCTCTTTTGAACATTCAAATATAGATTTGATAATTTGTTTGTTATGTAATAATTCATAAAGAAAATTCTTCATATACAAGATTACTATACTTTCATAGCTCAGGTGTACTAATCAACAACAATATATCTTATTATCTGTTCTTTTATTTGAAAGAAAACATCTTATAAACTCCGGTCCTGACTGTACTTAGACTCATACAAAAGAAATACTGATGCAAATGGAAGTTGCTGCCCACATTTTGTTTAGCTGGCACTTTTAGGATTGAAATTATGTGAAACTTTTAATGAAAAGATTTTATTCATTTTTCTGTAGTATTCTCTTATGGTTCATGCAATTTATACAGGTCCATAAAATACAATCTAAAACCATATCGTAGTAAATGAGCTTCCTGCACACATTTTCTTGATTTAAGTCATTTGTGAAAGCAGCATCGCTTGTACATCAGTTTATTAGTCAAACCAAGCAGCAGCACTGAGCTGCCTGCCTCCCACCCTATATTATACAGGATAGGCTATTCACAAAGTGAGATGAATCAAGTATCAAGTTCCTGAAAAGAGCGGACTTGAAACACCTCCAGGGCATGCTAACTAATTGAAAACTAGATCACACCCAAAGGGCAGAGAGCCTCCAGGCTTAGAACAATATTCCAAGAAATGCAAAGGAAATGTTCCAGGTGGAGTCTTCGAAGGTCTGTCAATATGTAAATTTTCTAATTAGATCAATGAAAATAGCACAAGTACCTTCTGTTGCAAGGAAACTGCAGCACTGAATTAAACTGTCAACATGCAAATATACCAATTAGAGCCTCAAAAATAGTAATAGATACAGTCTGTAAGGGGGAGTGGAAAAATAAGGAGAAAAACGAAAGGTTTTATTTATTTATTTTTTACCCAACTATGTATTTTATGTACAGTTTCCCCCCTTCATAATGGGTACAGTCTGTAGTATTTAAAGAATGAGCACTAACAGGTCCCAAAATTGAAAGAAAGAAAAAAAGAAAGAAGGAAAGAAAGAAAGAAAGAAAGAAAGAAAGAAAGAAAGAAAGAAAGAAGAAAGAAAGAAAGAAAGAAAGAAAGAAAGAAAGAAAGAAAGAAAGAAAGAAAGAAAAGAAAGAAAGAAAGAAAGAAAGAAAAAGAAAGAAAGAAAGAAGAAAGAAAGAAAGAAAGAAAGAAAGAAAGAAAGAAAGAAAGAAAGAAAGAAAGAAAGAAAAGAAAGAAAGAAAGAAAGAAAGAAAAGAAAGAAAGAAAGAAAGAAAGAAAGAAAAGAAAGAAAGAAAGAAAGAAAGAAAGAAAGAAAGAAAGAAAGAAAGAAAGAAAGAAAGAAAGAAAGTTAGTTTCCCTCCCAATACCTTCCCAAGTAATTTGGAAAAAGACCAACCCACAGCTAGCTGTCTCCCTGTGTCCTTTGAGAGTGTGCTGTGGTTTTGCCATGTTTGAAAAGGAGATAAGGAACCAAAGAGAAGAGCCCTCTACCCCCTGGAATCCAGTGTATGAAATACTGCCTCCTGGGAATTGCTGTTAGAGCAGCTGCTGCCTACCTCAATCTCCATGGTAATGGCAAGAGAGAAAAGGGTTCTCTAAGGTAACCAGAAACCAAACAAAGATAAGATTTCTAGATTAACAGTCTATTAGTCAGAAATGATTACAGAAGAAAAATAACTTCTAGAGGCGGTAGGTGAAATATGATAATTAAAATGTTATACCATTTGACTAGTACACTCTTACTCCCTAATCTATCATTTGAAACGGAATTTTTGGACTGAAACACGCGATGTTTCCCTGGACTGGAACCCGGATTCTTTGTCCACCGGAATCGAAGAATGAATCCACAGACAGAAGGTGGTATAGCAAAGGTGGAGATTTATTAAAGAACAAGTACAGACTCCCACGTGGGGAAAGGGAAAGTCCCACAGAACGGGCTCCCAAGTAGGGAGGGGGAAAGGGTCCCACTGAGTTCCTTTTCCCTATGGCTTATAAAGGCTGCAGGTCCTGGTGCCTTGATATCCCCTCTGACTGGTCACTATTCCCTTAGTCTGGTTACTATAGTAACTCCTGGGCTCAAAGGTCAAACCTCACATGAGACATGTGAGGCTCTCCTCCCTCCTTATTGTTTCCGATTCCCTTTGGGCTTTCTGCCTCCTTTATTTTGTAAATATAGACATTTTGCAACTCCCAGTTCCCTTATCTTATGGAAATGTAACTGCTGCTTCTCCCAACTCCCTTGTCTTACAGAAATGTAACTGCTGCCTCTTTGCAGCCCTGTGCTTTTTCCATGGCCCCCTTAATTTTAAAAATCCCCTAAACATGTCCTATTTCACCCCTAAATTCCTATTTCAATTTTCTGTTCAAATTTGTCAGAGTCATGTTTACTTTGTAAGCACACAGGGAAAATCATTTAAGCATATGATTTCTGAGATCTTATGGAATAGCAGAAGAAGCTAAACAAGTTACATAATGATAGTTCAGATAAATGCAAGGCTATTCAAGTTCATTAGCCATATTAGTGAGTGGGGGATTCCTTTTCCTAAGCCAAACATTCTTTTGATTATTTAAACATCGTGATGTTTTACATGGTTGGAAGTTGAAAGTTGTATACAGAAAGGTTTAAAAAGAATCATGTGCTAAAGAGCTCAGGGAATATTTGCCTCCCACACTAAACTGCCTGCCTGCACTATGTCCCTGCCACTTGAACCAACCCTTACAAAAGAGTTTCTGTAATTGTATTTCAACCAATAGGACTGAGGCGTTTCTTGTTTAATAAGAGCTGCACAGCTATATCCTCCATCAATGTCTTCATTGACCAATCAGAGATCAGAGTGGCTCCATTCTGAACAATCGGGACAGTATCTTTTGGGTCCAACCAAACTGAGAGCATTTGGAGTCCTCATTTGCATGAGGATGGACCAATCAGTGACCAGAGGTGGGGACTGCTGTTTACATATGGCAGCTCTCCTTGGGGTGGAAAGCCCACTTCCAATCTCTGGAAGACTGAAAACTTCCCTCATCGCAGAGCAGTAAAAGCCATGCTGTTTGGCCTGTGTGCTGCTTTATAATTGAGCTGTAATACTACTGAGCTGTTCTAGAGTGCTGCTGTTGTCACAGCTGTGCTGTAGCACAATTGAGCTGTTAGCACTGAATAAATTTTCCTCTTCACCAAACCAGGACTTGTGGATTCCTGTTGGTGTTGAAATGGCACCGGCAATCATCAGTTGCCAATACTAAGGTTCATGGCACCTTGAGGCCTGAGGTACCTGTGTGATATTGGTCTAGTAAGAATGCGGTTTATACATTAATGGATTAAAGGAAAGGTTCATTTCAAATCATCTATATATATAAAAGCTTAAGCAATCGTCACAGCCGAAACAACCAAATGGACAACTGAATAGGCTGTGTGGGGCAAACAGGCCAGCAGGGGAGTTAGTGAGGGCTGACCAAACGATTGACCAGCAGGCTGCGTGGGGCGGCTAGACCAGCAGCGGGGGTGGTAGGGGGTGACCAGTCTGGCAGGGGGAGCAGTAAGAGGCGACCAGGCTGGTGGGGGAGGCAGTTAGGGGTGACCAGGCTGGCATGCAAGGGAGGCAGTTAGGGGTGACCAGGCGGGCAGGCAGGCAGGCAAGCAATTAGGAGCCAATAGTCCAGGATTGTGAGAGGGATGTCCCAGATTGGAGAGGGTACAGGCTGGGCTGAGGGGACCCTTCCCCCACCTGCACAAATTTCATGCACCAGGCCTCTAGCTTTACATAAACTTCAGGTCTTATTCAAATGTTATGACTTTTTCCACTAATGTTCTTTTTCTATTCCAGGATCCCACATTGCATTAATTGTTATTTCTCCTTAGCCTTGTCTAGTCTAACTGTTTCCCAATCTTCCCTTGTCTTTCAGGTCCTTTTAAAGAGCACCAGTCAACACTTTGTAAAGTATATGATTGTCTAACCATGATGCTGTGCACTTTAAACTAAAACAAAATAATATTGAATGTAATCTAGAATTGAAAAAAAAAATTATAGAAGGATAGAAAGAGTACCAGTCAGATATTTTATCAAATGTCCTCAGTTTGATTTTGTTTGATGTTTTCTAATGATTGGAGTAAGGTTATGTACTTTTTAATATGATTTTTATTGATTTTTGAGAGAGAGAAAGGGGGAAGGATAGAGAAATACAAACATTTATGAGAAACGTTGATCAGCTGACTCCAG